TTCCACCTGGAAACCAACTTTTTTATCTATTTTAAACACCTCTTGAATTTGAGCATAGTGTAGCCAGTCTCGCACCTTATTTTTTAATTTCTCCTGGCTCTGCAGCCTCCAATTGTCTCCAGTTTTTTCAATTATTTCCCAATATTTCGGCCAGTAGGCCTCCATGTTGGGTCTTTTTCGAGCCTTGGCCTCCACCGGTGATAGCCACCTCAGGGTCTTGCCCTCTAGTAAGTCTTTGTATTTCATCCAGACCATAAATATTGCTTTTCTGACAATATGGTTTTTAAACAATTTATGAGCTTTAACCTTGTCGTACCACAAATATGCATGCCAACCAAAGGCATTGTCAAACCCTTCCAGATCTAGGACATCAGTGTTCTCCAACAAAAACCAGTCCTTCAACCAACAGAAGGCTGCAGATTCATAATACAACCTCAAGTCTGGCAGGGCAAACCCCCCTCTTTCTTTCGAGTCAGTTAGTATTTTAAACTTTATTCGGGGCTTTTTGCCCACTCTTTCTTTTTTTTTTTTTTACTTGTTTCTTTATTTAAAAATATATTGCTTAACATAATAAACAATTCTGTAAGTGGTTTATGGGAAAGAGGAATAAACGTGAGGGAGCATCTGCACAAGGTCCTTAGGTTCATTTTCCAGCTTCTCCAGGTAAAGTTGAGAGAGATTCATGCCTGACATTCACTGCAGAGAATACCGAGAAGGCGGAACCAATAATCTGACTCAGTATTAAGACAGCTTCCTATATTCCAGCACTGAGCAGATCATTTGCTTCTGTGTTCTTTCATTTTATATCCCTGGATATAAAAGACTTCCAGTTCAGATGCTTGCCTTCAATGAGTTGGAAGGTAAAGAATTGTGGCGGAGGGGGCAGAGCTACTGTGTGCATCCATATTGTCCCCCGCCGCATCTAGGCGATTGTGGTCAGGGCTTTTTTTTTTTTCAGCCGGAACTTGCCGGAACTCAGTTCCAGCACCTCTCAGGTGGGCGCCATTGCCATTATAAGAGAACAAGGGAGGGGTTTGTGGTGAGTTCTGGCACCTCCTTTTCTAGAAGAAGAAGAAGAAGAAGAAGAAGAAGAAGAGAGGAGGAGGAGGAGGAGTTTGGATTTGATATCCCGCCTTTCACTCCCCTTCAGGAGTCTCAAAGCGGCTAACATTCTCCTTTCCCTTCCTCCCCCACAACAAACACTCTGTGAGGTGAGTGGGGCTGAAAGACTTCAAAGAAGTGTGACTAGCCCAAGGTCACCCAGCAGCTGCATGTGGAGGAGCAGAGACGCGAACCCAGTTCCCCGGATTACGAGACTACCGCTCTTAACCACTACACCACACTGGCTCACAAAAAATAGCACTGATTGTGGTTACTGTTGTGGTTACAATGGTACCTCGGGTTAAGTACTTAATTCATTCCGGAGGTCCCTTCTTAACCTGAAACTGTTCTTAACCTGAAGCACCACTTTAGCTGATGGGGCCTCCTGCTGCCGCTGCACCGCCGGAGCACAATTTCTGTTCTCATCCTGAAGCAAAGTTCTTAACCTGAAGCAATATTTCTGGGGTAGCAGAGTCTGTAACCTGAAGTGTATGTAACCTGAAGCGTATGTAACCCGAGGTACCACTGTACTGTTGTGCAGAATGTGGTAACCAGGACTGGGTGATATCTCATTTTTCAGTATAGCGGTATATTTCATAGAACTGTAGAGCTGGAAGGAACCAAGAAGGACATCTAGTCTGACCCCCTGCAATGCAAGAATCTTTCACACAGTGTGGGACTTGAACCCACAACCCTGAGATTAAGACCCTGAGATTAAGAGTCTCATGCTCTACCAACAGAGCTATCAACTACCAGCTAAACATCGCGATATACCAATCTATCACGATCTCTGAAATATGGATGGAGCTATGTAGAGACACTGAGATCCAGCGCCGAGGGCCTTCTGGTGGTTCCCTCACTGCGAGAAGCGAGGTTACGGGGAACCAGGGAGAGGGCCTTCTTGGTAGTGGCGCCTGCCCTGTGGAACGCCCTCCCATCAGATGTCAAGGAAATAAACAACTATCTGACTTTTAGAAGACATTTGAAGGCAGCGCTGTTTAGGGAAGTTTTTTTATGTTTACTGCTGTATTGTGTTTTTAATATACGATTGGGAACTGCCCAGAGTGGCTGGGGAAATATTATTATATTATGGGCTAGCTTCATGGCCTTTCCTGCATCGTGATTTTTGCCAGCACCTGCTTTTGTGATTTACTGCAGCAATCGATAGAAACATTGGCTGAATTCATGGGTTTTCCCACATTGTGTTTTTTGCATAGCCCCCCCCCCCCACACACACTGATTTGTGATATGTTACGTGGTGGCACTGTGGGTTAAACCACAGAGCCTAGGACTTGCCGATCAGAAGGTTGGCGGTTCGAATCCCCGCGACGGAGTGAGCTCCCGTTACTCAGTCCCTGCTCCTGCCAACCTAGCAGTTCGAAAGCACGTCAAAGTGCAAGTAGATAAATAGGTACCGCTCCCGCGGGAAGGTAAACGGCGTTTCCGTGCGCTGCTCTGGTTCGCCAGAAGCGGCTTAATCATGCTGTCCACATGACCCGGAAGCTGTACACTGGCTCCTTCGGCCAATAAAGCGAAATGAGCGCTGCAACCCCAGAGTCGGCCACGACTGGACCTAATGGTCAGGGGTCCCTTTACCTTTACCTTTATTGCCAGGACAAAAATTATGAAATCACGATATCACGATATGGCCTTCAAACTGGTTTTGGATGATATATGATGGATTTGCCATGCATTGGATACTGTTTGAGATGTAATTTGTGGTGCAGAAAAATAATTGTCCTGGGTGTATTTGATCCATTTTATGAAACTTTGTTTGGTTTTATTTGGTTTAAGAAAGTTACTTAGAAGGGGGGGGGTATTGCCTATTCCCCTTCAGGGAAGCAGCTTAAAACCAGGTCTGCAAGCTGGCAGCGAAAACTGGTTGTAGGTAGCACTGATTGACTGGACTCGGTTGTGCCACAATCCCATCAACTATTTTAAAACTAAAGGACATGTGTTCAGCAACACACTCTCACTCTCTCTTTTTCTATATCTGCAGGTCAGGGGCAGAGGGACGTGGGTGGCGCTGTGGGTTAAACCACAGAGCCTACGGCTTGCCGATCAGAAGGTCGGCGGTTCAAATCCCCTAACGGGATGAGCTCCCATTGCTCAGTCCCTGCTCCTGCCAACCTAGCAGTTCGAAAGCACATCAAAGTGCAAATAGATAAATAGGTACCGCTCCGGTAGGAAGGTAAATGGTGTTTCTGTGCGCTGCTCTGGTTTGCCAGAAGCGGCTTAGTCATGCTGGCCACATGACCCAGAAGCTGTACGCCGGCTCCCTCGGCCAATAAAGCGAGATGAGCACCGCAACCCCAGAGTCGTCCACGACTGGACCTAATGTTTAGGGGTCCCTTTACCCTTTACCTAGGTCAGGGGGAAGGTAACCCAGTGCTTAATTTGCTGCTCTGCACATCTGTAATTTGCAAACCCCTAAAGGACGCGGGTGGCGCTGTGGGTAAAAGCCTCAGCGCCTAGGGCTTGCCGATCGAAAGGTCGGCGGTTCGAACCCCCGCGGCGGGGTGCGCTCCCGTCGTTCGGTCCCAGCGCCTGCCAACCTAGCAGTTCGAAAGCACCCCCGGGTGCAAGTAGATAAATAGGGACCGCTTACAAGCGGGAAGGTAAACGGCGTTTCCGTGTGCGGCTCTGGCTCGCCAGAGCAGCGATGTCACGCTGGCCACGTGACCCGGAAGTGTCTCCGGACAGCGCTGGCCCACGGCCTATAGAGTGAGATGGGCGCACAACCCTAGAGTCTGGCAAGACTAGCCCGTACGGGCAGGGGTACCTTTACCTTTAAAGGGAACCAAGATCACACTGTAACTGCATGTTGGAAGCAGAAACTGGCCGTGGGCAGAATTGATTGGCTGGAGTCTGTCGCGCCACAAATCAGCCTATTCTTCCACATTCCCTGATGCAGCTTGGCTTAAGGGTGGGTCACAGATTCCAAGTGGGCTAGAATTACTCTTCCAGTTTCCACATCAACGTGGCCACCCAATACAACAAGAGAGGACTTTGCTCCCAGTGTTTGCATTCTCCCCGTTTCCCTGCCCGTGGTGGCAAATGGAAATCTCAAATAAAGAAAGGGCCACATGCTTAGCTATAGAAGGGGGGGACCATGGAGTCATCTGGTCCAAACCTCTGCAATGCAGGGTTATTTTGCACAACATCAGGCTCAAACCCATGACCTTGAGATTAAGAGTCTCATGCTCTACCGACTGAGATATCCCAGAGAATAAAAGCATAAAAAGAAGAGCACTGCCGAATCGGACACGGGCCTCCCACGTCCAGCCATTCTTCTGCTTATAGTGCCAACCATAGGTCTAAAGGCAGCCCACATGACCACAGAAACATTCTTCCACTCATGATCCTCAACGGCTCATATTTGCCTCTGGCCCTTTAAGTAGCATGTGGCCATGGTGAATAGTGGCCGCTGGATTTGTTTAGAGCTGCCTAGGTTTGTGGCCCTCACGGTGTCCATGGGAGATGGCGTGACTGACGGCTGAACAAACACTCACTTTTTCGATATCTGTTAATTAACTACAGATGGGTAGCCGTGTTGGTCTGCCATAGTCAAAACAAAAAAAATTCCTTCCAGTAGCACCTTAAAGACCAACTAAGTTAGTTCTTGGTATGAGCTTTCGTGTGCATGCACACTTCTTCAGATACCAAGTATCTGGTATCTGAAGAAGTGTGCATGCACACGAAAGCTCATACCAAGAACTAACTTAGTTGGTCTTTAAGGTGCTACTGGAAGGAATTTTTTTTGTTTTGTTAATTAACTGAAAGACTTCTGGTCGCTTCGGCCCCTCTTCGTTCTTCTCTCAACGTCACACAAAGAACTAAGACACGCAACACTGCCATCTATTATTGCTGAGTGCAATAATTTTTATCATCACAACAGGAGAATGTGTACATTTTGCCAGTGCGCCTGTCAAAATTCCATTGGTCACACCTGTTGTCATCCACATTCGTGCAGTCCATGACCTTCTGCCACAGCTGGAAACCTGGGGTGGTGGGAAGAGGCACGGGGAGAAAGGAAAGCGTTTTGATTCGTGTTGTTATTCATGTTCTGCTTGAGGTGAAACAGGAACGTGCTGTCACCCCGCCCTGCTGCCCACGACACACTAGCCGCTGCTTCTCCACTGGCGGTGGAGGGGGGTGAGTGGCGGAGGTGAGGCAGGCACCACCTCTTGGACTTCTTCCACCATTCAAGGTGGGTGGCTCACCTTCGTTCGTCAGTAGACTAGGCCTAGCTGTGAGTCCCAACCTATCTAAAGCCAGCCAGGGGCTTGATGCCCCAGTGGCAGCTGTATTCATATCTGAAGGAGCATCTCCACCCCCATTGTTCTACCTAGACACTGAGGTCCAGCGCCGAGGGCCTTCTGGAGGTTCCCTCACTGCAAGAAGCCAAGTTACAGGGAACCCGGCAGAGGGCCTTCTTGGTAGTGGCACACACCCTGTGGAACGCCCTCCCACCAGATGTCAAAGAGAACAACAACTACCAGACTTTTAGAAGACATCTGAAGGCAGCCCTGTTTATGGAAGCTTTTAATGTTTGATGCATTGCTGTATTTTAATATTTTGTTGAAAGCCACCCAGAGTGGCTGGGGAAGCCCAGCCAGATGGGCGGGATATAAATTGTTGTTGTTGTTGTTGTTGTTGTTGTTGTTGTTGTTGTTGTTGTTATAATCCACAGGCCAACACAATAAGACTTTCCCCAAAAGCAATGCTCTTGAAATAAGTGCTAGCTTGCAAGGAAAAGGTCAAGGTTGCTAAGAAGACAAGACACCTTACCTTTGTAGACTTTCAAGATTATGCAGATCATTTTGTTCTTTATGGCAGCGCATCTTCTCCCTAACGGCGTGCATGGTATCCATGGTCTCATGGTAGCACACTGTCGGCAGACAACAGCATCTGTCGTTAAGAAAGAGCATTAAAAATAATAATGCGGTTGCTCCTAGGATCCACATTAGCAAGTGTCTCCAGATCAAGTTTATCCAGATGCTGGATAGTGAAAAGAGATATTATCTTCCTCCTCCTTTTCTCCTTAACCCAGCAATGCTCATGAAAATGGAGCTATATCATGACACGGTGCTGTTCGCATTGCTATGTCATGACATAGTGCCGTGTGCAAGGATGTGACAGGCACTGTAGTATATCTGTTTTGGTCCTCTGGAATGAGGACGCGGGTGGTGCTGTGGTCTAAACCACTGAGCCTCTTGGACTTGCTGATCAGAAGGTCAGCAGTTTGAATCCCTGCGATGGGGTGACCTCCCGTTGCTCTGTCCCAGCTCCTGCCAACCTAGCAGCTCAAAAGCACGCCAGTGCAAGTAGATAAATAGGTACCACTGTGGCGGGAAGGTAAACAGCGTTTCTGTGAGCTCTGGTTTCCATCACGGTGTCCCATTGCTCCAGAAGCGGTTTAGTCATGCTGGCTGCATGACCCGGAAAGCCGTCTGTGGACAAACGCCAGCTCCCTCGGCCTGAAAGTGAGATGAGTGCCACAACCCCATAGTCGCCTTTGACTGGACTTAACCATCCAGGGGTCCTTTACCTTTACCTTTTTATATATATAACTGCTTTAGCTCCTCAGGAATGAGTAACAATGGCTCCCAAAGACAGTGTTAAATAGCATTAACGATCCATTGCTAAAGCATTTTAAAACATAATCCAAAAAGCAACTCAGTTTGTGTATACGGACATTAGAACATTCTCAGGACTTCGTAAAACAAACCATTACAATATATCAGACAAATATGTAATCAATATGCCCAAGCAATTGCATATTCCTAGAGTGCTCATTCTCCCTCCCCCCCCCTTCAGAGTTAACCTTTCAGATGACTTGCTGTTTATTTCCTAAAACGTTTTCATATCACCAAGGCAATGTTCAGCAATTATACCAGTACAGTGGTACCTCGGGTTAAGTACTTAATTCGTTCTGGAGGTCCGTTCTTAACCTCCTGAAGCACCACTTTAGCTAATGAGGCCTCCTGCTGCTGCCGCACCGCCGGAGTCTGATTTCTGTTCTTATCCTGAAGCAAAGTTCTTAACCTGAAGCACTATTTCTGGGTTAGCGGAGTGTGTAACCTGAAGCGTATGTAACCTGAAGCGCATGTAACCCGAGGTACCACTGTATACCAGTATAATAAAATACAAAGTGCCATACAAACTGTCTACAATAATAATAATAATAACAACAATAATAATTTTTATTTATACCCCCGCCCTCCCCAGCCAAGGCCGGGCTCAGAGCAGCTTACAAGCAATAATAAAAACAAGTTGAATGATTACAACTTAAAAACAACATTAAAAAACAACATTAAAATATTGAAACATTAAAATATTAAAATGTAGCCTCATCGCAGGAGGAGAAGGAAAAGAAAAAAGAAAGAGATACGGATTGAAATGACTGGTAGCCTTAAGAAAACTGAGTTCTGACAGCGATTTGTCTTTCCCAAGTTCAAAAGCATTTTGAATATGTAGTTGTCCTCATGATATCATGGGCTGCATGAAAGTGGCGATTTACAGAAAGGCGGCTGATGGCGAAGATTCTGAGTAAGTGTATGTTTGTATTGTTCACAGATATTGCAATATCACCTGGGACCAAGTGGCAAAGCTATCTGATCTAATTCTACAATTAAAAACAATAAATTACCTTGTAATTTACCTTGAGGGGGAGAAGCAAATTGGGGGTTTGTCTTATAGGTCATACATTTGAAACACATGGCTTCCCTCAATGACTCCTGGGAACTGGAGTTTGTTAAGAGTGCGGAGAATCGAAAAACTGTAAGGGGTAAATTAGAGGTCCCAAGAATCCTTTGGGGAAGCCATGTGTTTTAAATACACTTTAAATGTATGTGACGGATAGGGGAAAGGGTAGTGGGATATGATGCCCAGACCAGTGGCATCCCATGTATTATTATTATTATTATTATTATTATTATTATTATTATTATTATTGTGCTTTTTTCCTAAAAAAAATGTTTAGGGGTACTCTCATTTTCCTACTCATTGAAATATTGCCCCTCAATGAGGCCAAACTTATATTCACAAAATGTTTTGGGGCATTTTTGTTGTTGTTGTTTAGTCGTGTCCGACTCTTCGTGACCCCATGGACCAGACCATGCCAGGCACCCCTGTCTTCCACTGCCTCCCGCAGCTTGGTCAAAGTCATGTTGGTAGCTTTGAGAACACTGTCCAACCATCTCGTCCTCTGTCGTCCCCTTCTCCTTGTGCCCTCAATCTTTCCCAACATCAGGATATGCGTACCCCTAATTATTATTATTATTAGTTGTTGGGCTTACCTCCTGCTACGAAGCAGAGAAAAATGCAAGATGCAAGTAGCCAAATGTGAGCCATGCCTAGCCACAGTGATCCTCGAGCAACAACAGTGTCCTCTTAGATGGAACTAACGAAGAGAAAGAGACTTCTCATTTGTGGGCAGTCTGGTTTTTATCCCAACCGTAGAACACATCTACACTCCAGAGATTAGCCTTCGCTTCTGAAGGTGGATTGAACACATGGGGTCACTGATTACCATTTTAATGTTTGGATCTTAGGTGAGATAATGTTTTATTTTTTAAAAAAAATATCCCATCCATCTGGCTGGCTTTCCGCAGCCACTCTGGGCAGTTTGCAACACATACAGAAACGCAACAAAACATTAAACATTAAAAAACAAAATATCCTACACAAGCAACAAACCAACCAATAAATCAATAGAAATCAGTAACAACAACAATAAAGAGTTTACAGTTACACCCAAGTTAAAATAACCACCAACTACAGCTAAACATTTAACCAACACCAGCCCAACGAAAACAAAACAAAGGAATTAAAATTAGATACTCTGGGATTTTTTTTTATCTCCTTTATCCTAGAGTGGGATGAGTATGCACACCATGGGCAGCAATAACTTAGCAAAGTACGTTCAATTCTCTGAAAAAACGAACGCACCCATATATTCTACGCCTACGTGTCCTGGCCCTGGATTCTGTAGCTCCTGCCATTGCAGCTTTCTGCCTACCGATCATTCTGTTCTCATAATTTCTGCTCCAGAAATATCCCACTTTTATTAAACAAAAAAATGCTTGCCGTGCCTTCTCTCCTGCACTCTAAGCTTTTAACAGGATGAAATTGACAGAGATATTAAGGAGCTTCTGTTTTGAAACGGTTGCCTTACTGTGGTGTTCTTCCACTTTGGGTCATTGCCAGAACTGCAACTCCCATCATCGCTGACCATTGGCTAAATTGGCTGGGGATGATGGGAATTGTAGTCCAACAACGTCTAGGGACCTGCAGCCGAAGAACACCAACTTATACTATACTCATTTTAACAGCCCCATCAATGGAAGCCCAATGCAAGGACTTCTGCTTGCACAATGAGGCTTTCTCCCTCTCTTCCCCCTGCTTAAGGTTACCAGATTTTTTTCAATGAATCCGGGGACACTTTTTTCTTTTTCGTTTCTTTTTTAGTAAATTTTATTAGTATTTTCCACACAACAATAAAACAACAAAATAACAATACACAAAAACAAAAACAAGCACTAAAAAACAAATCTTACAAATTAATAATGTAAACACTAAAAAGGAAAAACAAACATTGACTTCCACCAATCCCACAGCACTTCCTTTACCTCTCATTGTATCTTCCTGTTTTCCTGATCATCTCTATCCTAACATCTAAATATAAATCCCTCTTTCTTGTCCTTTCACTGCACAAGGTTATTCCAGACTCAGCCAGATTTCTGTCCTCGAACCTTGGCTTTTAAGGTATTCATTTAGACACTCCCCTTCTTTTTTCACTTCACTTTTGGGTTTTTGTCTTATTATATCTGTCAATTTGGCTAATTCTAAATATTCTGAAAGCTTACATAACCGTTCTCCCTTAGTGGGTAACTGATTCCGGGGGACACTTTTCAACTTCCTACTGAATAGATGGGTTTTGTCAGGGGACTGATCTGTAAATCCGGGGACTGTCCCTGGGAAACGGGGATGTCTGGTAACCTTACCCTGCGTATCCTCCACATTCCCCAAGACTGGTTTGGGAGGGGGTGTCAGGAAACCCCCAAAGCAGCCACCTGGCAGGTAGAAGTGGGGTCTCTCCCATGGCAAGCTGGAATGCTTGTACGGCAAAACAACTGGCACACTTAGAGCAGCTCCCATTGTCCATCCACTGATCTCACAGACACCAGGAAGGGCTGAAGCACCTTAGTTCTCCCCAGCACTATAAAATTAGGTGCTCCTGGACATGGCCGTAGCCAGGATTTTTGTTTGGGGGGTCAGCCAAAGTTGTTGAGCTTTTTTCTCCTGGGTTCCATATCTACATTTACCTATGGTCATATCTCACACCATACACTGAAAGCAGCTTTACAAACTTAGTTGATTCTAAGGTGAGGGTGAAAGAGGAGAGCGCAAAATATGGTTTGAAGCTCAACATCAAAAAACGAAGATCATGGCCACTGGTCCCATCACGTCCTGGCGAATAGAAGGGGAAGAAATGGAGGCAGTGAGAGATTTTACTTTCTTGGGCTCCATGATCACTGCAGATGGTGACAGCAGTCACGAAATTAAAAGACGCCTGCTTCTTGGGAGAAAAGCAATGACAAACCTAGACAGCATCTTAAAAAGTAGAGACATCACCTTGCCAACAAAGGTCCGTATAGTTAAAGCTATGGTTTTCCCAGTAGTGATGTATGGAAGTGAGAGCTGGACCATAAAGAAGGCTGATCACCGAAGAATTGATGCTTTTGAATTATGGTGCTGGAGGAGTCCCATGGACTGCAAGAAGATCAAACCTATCCATTCTTAAGGAAATCAGCCCTGAGTGCTCACTGGAACGACAGATCGTGAAGCTGAGGCTCCAATACTATGGCCACCTCATGAGAAGACAAGACTCCCTGGAAAAGACCCTGATGTTGGGAAAGATGGAGGGCACAAGGAGAAGGGGGCGACAGAGGACGAGATGGTTGGATAGTGTTCTCGAAGCTACCAGCATGTTTGACCAAACTGCGGGAGGCAGTGGAAGACAGGAGTGCCTGGCGTGCTCTCGTCCATGGGGTCACAAAGAGTCGGACACGACTAAACTAAACAACAACAACAAAGGTGCTACTGGAAGGATTTTTAAATTTTGTTTTGACTGCGGCAGACCACCAGTTCAGCAGTCATGGAGAGAATCCCATAAACTGTAGTTTGTTAAGGATGCTGAGAATTATAGTTTGGCCATTCCTTTGAGATGGTAAATAGATTAGTTCTTGAATCAAGGTCACAGGCCCACCCTATTCATACACTAAATATGCCCTTAGGGTGGGATTTGAAGGATTTGGAAGCAAAAGAGCTACTGGGAAACGTTTCTCTTCTGCAGAGGAAATTACTTAAGAGTCATTAGGAGAGCCAAGATGGCTTGGGAGGGGGGTTTGCTCTGTGTGCGAAAATAATGTGTCATTTCCTTGGGGGAACATTTCATAAACTTTGAAGGGTGATGTATTGGTTTTCTGTAGAGTGTGTGCACCCTAACACCTGTGAGGAAAAGTTGCGGCAACGGGAACTTTTTGGTTTCAAGAAAAGGCCAGTGAGAAGTTACGTGATAGAACTGCGTGAAATTATGCAGCTTCATAAGAGTATATATTTGAAGATGAATAAATGAGCAAATCAAGTTCATTTGGCTATGCAGAAGATATTAAAAATAGATTTAAGGAGGTGCAGAAAAAGAGGGAGGGAAGTCAAGCTTCGAAATGTCAAAATTATTGTAAAGAATAGTGAAATGTATAAACTTGAAAAGTATTTTAAAAAAAATTAATATATTTATTTTTAAGAAAGTGGCGAAAGGAGAGTTCTCCCTCTCTGGTCACACCAAAACTCGTGGGCACCCGATGAAGGTGATGTTTGGAAGACTCAGGTGAAAAGAAGCATTTCTTCACAGGTAAACTGCGGAACTCCCTCCCACAGGAGGCAGGGATGGCCACCAACCCGGTCGGCTCTAAAAGAGGATAGCTAGGCTCTTCCTCAGCAGCTGGAGGCAGCAACGCTCCCGAATAGCAGTTGCTGGGAGCCGCAGGAGGGCAGAGCAACTCCCTGCGAGGCCTACAGAACGCGGGGAGCGAAAGGAACCCGGAAGGCGACGCCTTTTGTGAGTCTACAAACACACGCCAAGCGTCTATGGAAAGCGGAGATAGCGAAAGCGGCCGGGAGAACGAATCAACCGTTAGCTCTATGGCCTCGGCGGCGCTCAGAGCGTCGCTTCCGGTGACGTCAGAGCCGCTTCCCAGAGCGGCGGAGGAGGCGGGGCGGGAGAACGAATCAACCTGTACCTCTATGGCCTCGGCGGAGCTCAGAGCGTCGCTTCCGGTAACGTAGGAGCCGCTTCCTGTGGTGGCGTTTACGGAACGGGTTTGTTGTGGAAGTGGGAGGTGGGGGCTGGCGGTTGGCCGGACGTCCAGGAGGCCGTGCGGTTCGCCCCGTCAGCCGTCGCCCTCATGTTCGCGGGGCGGGAAAGTGAGGGCCAAAGCGGGGCGGCGGGGCTGCCGTAATTGCGGCCGTGCTGCGCGGAGGAGCGGCGGGTTTTGCGGGGCCTCCCGTAATTACCCCTCTAAGGCCCCCTCTGAAATTGCCCTTATTGCAGCCGTGAGATCCCCGCCCCTCTGGCTTCTCCCTCGCAGCCGGTTCAAAACACCGCGCCGTCTTAAGAACGGGCGCCTTGGGCTCAGGTGGGCAGGCTTAGCCCCCGAGCCCAAGTCCTCTCCGCAGAGATCTCCTGTGCTTCAGGTTGCAGGTGCGCTTCAGGTGCCTGCCTCAGTCCTAGAATTACAGAGCTGGAAGGGATCCTGGGGGTCATCAAGCCCAACCCCCTTATGCAATGCAGGGATCTCAACTAAAGCATCCCTGACAGATGGCCACCGCCAGCCCTGCTGCTCTGCCTCTTCCTCCTCTGCCTGCGCTGGAGTGGTGCAGTAGCTGAACGGGGTGAGCTGAAATAAAAGCCCTGTATCTTCTTTCTGTTCATGGTGTGGCATTCTCTCAGTTCACCGTTCCTACACAGCGCAACGTGAGGGCAATACCAGGCCTACTAAGTTGGGCTGTTGTAAAAGCGCTTGAGATAAACGCCTGTGAAGTGTTTTGGGGGAAGCGCTGGGTGCATAAACGGTGACCAGCTCGCCAGGAAGGAGGCTGCTGTCCCATTGTTAACTAAAACAGGACTAGATGGTTCGGGTTTGGAGGCAGTGGCCCACTATCTTTGCCCTACAGGGTGAATTTGATATCGCTGTACAAAAGGGGAAATATCAAAAGCCGACATTTAAAGGGGTAAAAGATCTGGAACAAAACAGGGGTGGAGAGGGTGACCCTACTTTAATAGGGAGACAAGCAGGTACAAATGTATAGTTTACTCCAGTGTGGACAGGCCCAGAGTTTGGGTAAGAGTCATGAGCTAGAAAGTCTCTAATCCAGATCTTGCTTGAGATATAAATACCCTTGGGCAAGCCAGTGTTTTCTCAATCTCAGCACCTCATCTGTTGTATGGGGATGATTTATAATACTAATTTTCCTTAAAGGCTGTTGTAAGGGTTACAGGATAATACACGTGAAGTACTTCGAACACTTGGAAATATGCTGTATAAATGGGAAGTATTATTGTTTTCTAAATATTTTTTTTTTCTTTTGACCTTCCAAGGGAATACCAAAGTGTTAAATGCTAGACGACTCATTTGCAAGGTGCCTTGGTGTTAAGGAACTGGAAGAGATCAACAGCCATATCTTAACTGTTCAACTGTGATGTTGAATCATGCCTCGGCCAACTCCCAATGGATAAATCTTTGCTGTCCAAAACCCTGCTCAGAGAGGAAAATACGCTTGCAGCTGAGGAGCTCCAAACAACAGGGTAGGTAGTCTGGCATCGGCCGCTGTAAAGGGCTTTGAAGTACCTTGACAAATACTAAAACTGCTGTAATGCTGAGAGTGGACACTTTTTAATTGGTTAGTTGAGAGCCACTGTGATGAAGTGAATAGGCTAGCTTTGAATCTGGGAGACAGATTCTGCCCTCCAGATGTTGGGCTGCTGTGTTTAGCATTAGCAGAATGTGTGCAAATTACACATAGCAGAGGAACACCCATCACAGGTTCCAGGGATTGTACTAATTCTGCAGCAGCAGGAGAAAGTCTGGGGAACTTTGTTCTCCGTATGTTGCTGAAGCACAAACTGTTGGGCTGTTAGCATCCAAAATGCATATGGAAAATGTTAAGGGTTGAAAGGACTGTAGAACCCTGTGATGTCATATGCTCTGTGGCATTTCTCTCTGTGTGGTATTTCAGTTGGTTCAGTGGTTCCATACACTCGGTATTTCAGTTGGTTCAGTTATTAACAGTCTTGCGAGTCTTAATGGTTAGAGCAGCAGGTGTGTTGTGTTGTGCTGCTGTTTGCCTCAGAGTCAGAGTAAGTGTTAGTCAGTAACAGTTTAATCTATGTAAGATGTTCTAGCAACTAAATAAACTTCCACCTGCATTGTGTGTGTATGTACACACACATATATATGTATGTGTGTGTGTGTGTATCTGCAACTGCAAGTACACTAAGTAAAAGTTATTTGGTCTTTAAACATGAGTATCTTGTGTGGTTTTTATAGGAGGAAAAAGAGAACTAAAGGGTCAAACAACCCAGGGCTGTCTTCCACATACTCTGCAAATAGGGAATAGAGTCTTAATTCCCTGCACAAACATCAGTCTCAGCAAACATGGCCAATGGCCAGGTGCGATGGGAGTTATAGTTAGCAGGACATGAAGAAATTATCTTAACTCTTTAGATTGATGTATATACCCTGTAGAAGTGGGCTGGATTTGTAATGTAAAAGATACTCCAAGTCTGTTTTGATGCTGTGTGGATGACTGCATGCAAGACTTAACATATGTGCATGTATTTGGCCTGGAAGACAACACTACATGTTTGGTGATTGCTTTCAGAATTTTCAGTAAAGTTTGTAAAAAGAACCAAACAAAGTTCAGCAACATCTGAAGGGCCACGGATTCCCCACGCCTGAGCTAGATAGAGGGTCCGTGATCGGGATGTGAAGGCTATAGGGAAAACATTCCATATTGTTTTGGGTCATATACGAGTTATTGTGTGCTTACACTATGCTCAATTAGAAATATTTCACATGCCTGTGTATATGGTAGATCACGTGCCTCAGTATTTGTGAATAATTGTGTATTCTGTGTATGGTGCAAATTTGGTGTTTTTATGAAAAGTACACAGTTGGGACAAATTGGACTGTGCCACCACTCTATCGTGGCCATATGCAGTGTTATTGTATGCTAATGCAAGATCCCTTGCATTAGTGGATGGCATAGTTTAAAGGTTGTGCAATGAAGGAATCAAACAGCTGTTGTGCTAGTGGAAGCTTGTTGCACAACAGCTGTGTAATCTGTTGGCGAGCAATCTTTCGTAATATACTTGTGTTTGTGTTTTCCTTTGCACAGCAATGCTCCGCCAGCACAACAAGGATATCTCTAAGTGACTTAGTGCTACGCTGGATACAGCCCTTGGTTCTGCCATCCATGCTTTCCCCCTCCTGTCTTTGATGAGCCATGGCCACCACAAACCCTTTGGAAAACCTCCAGGTAGAAGCCAGCTGCTCTGTCTGCCTGGAGTACCTCAAGGACCCCGTGATCATTGACTGCGGCCACAATTTCTGCCGGGTGTGCATCACCCGCTGGTGGGAAGATCTGAACCGGGACTTCCCCTGCCCCGTCTGCCGCAAGACTTCGCGCCACCGCATTCTGAGGCCCAACCGGCAGCTGGGCAACATGGTGGAGATAGCCAAGCAGCTGCAGGTCACGAACAAGCGCAAGGTGCGGGATGAGAACTTGTGCGAGAAGCACAATGAAGTCCTCCGCCTCTTCTGCAAGGACGACCAGGAGGCTGTTTGCTTAGTGTGCGAGATCTCTCACGAACACCGCTCCCACACGGTGGTGACCCTGGACGATGCCTCCTTGGAGTATAAGGTAAAGTGGGGCTGGGACATGGCTGGAATCAAGTTTTTGAAAAAGACGGGCAAGGGAATGAAGACCAACATTTGAGTTGGTTCATAGTAATTGGTTTTAATATTTCTGTTGTGTCTGTAAGTGACTTGGAGTCATTTCCATGAGCAATGCGATTAATGTATATAAATAACAACCAGAAACATCACCAGCCGTGTGAGGCATGCATTTGATGTGTATCTGCCCATTGCGGACAGATGCCTTTTTTGCCATCACAGTAGCACATAAACCTGCACGGACTGTACTTAACTTGATTGAATAGGGAAGCCCAAGTGGGAACTGCAAGAAAATGCTGTCCTATATTTTGGTTTGCTTGTTTAATCATTTTTTCTCTTCAACATAATGCTCAGCTGGTTGCTAGTGACCACTGACTATGCTCTCAGTCCCCATAGGGTTGTCTGGGTGGGCGCTGTTGTTGTTGGCTCTTCTGCAAACCTCAGGGGTCCCCTGAGTATGCTGGTGCCTCTCTTTTGTTTCTTGGTGGCTTCTGTGTTAGTTGAATTTCTGTTAGGCACTGCAGTCAGAGGTGGACTTTGCCATTAGAGGGTGTCATGGAGGTGAGGAATGGAAAGCCTTAAAAATGAGGAGAAGGAGCTTGAAATTTGATGTGAGAATTCAGTGCAGAGTTGAATGGAGAAAGGGAACACAATTGTCTTCCTATAATGAATAGGAAGGCTGGAAGAATAGCAAAATAAAGGCAGCAAATGACAGACACAATGTGGGTAGGTTGCTCTTGTGTTTGGGAACAAGGTATGCAGCCTGCTATAAGTAGAGTTATGCTGTTACGGGGTGGGCTACACCTAGATCCAACTTTCTCACTTGAACCTCAAGTGTCCAAGGTGGTTGCCTTTGTTTGCTGCCTAAATCCAGCTTTCTCACTTGAACCTTGCCAGGCTACAGTTGTAGCAGAGACATCACCTTGCCAACAAAGGTCTGTATAGTTAAAGCCATGGTTTTCCCAGTAGTGATGTATGGAAGTGAGAGCTGGACCATAAAGAAGGCTGATCGCCGAAGAATTGATGCTTTTGAATTATGGTGCTGGAGAAGACTCTTGAGAGTCCCATGGACTGCAAGAAGATCAAACCTCTCCATTCTTAAGGAAATCAGCCCTGAGTGCTCACTGGAAGGACAGATCCTGAAGCTGAGGCTCCAATACTTTGGCCACCTCATGAGAAGAGAAGACTCCCTGGAAAAGACTCTGATGTTGGGAAAGATGGAGGGCACAAGGAGAAGGGGACGACAGAGGACGAGATGCTTGGACAGTGTTCTCGAAGCTACAAACATGAGTCTGACCAAACTGAGGGAGGCAGTGGAAGACAGGAGTGCCTGGCATGCTCTGGTCCATGGGGTCACAAAGAGTTGGACACGACTAAATGACTAAACAACAACAACAACACAGTTGTTTCTGGAGAAGAATACTCTTTTTCACGGTTCCCCAAATTCCAGCAACCTCTCCCTTGCTTGCATTACAGTAATCCCCCTGTACATGAGGCTGCCCTTGAAGATGTGAACACTTCAATTAGTGCAGAATGCATCTGGCCAAATGTTGACCAGTACGTGTTAGACTTGTGAGGTCAGTTGGCCCATAACCTGTTACACAGGGGCAACAATCTGTTGTTGATACTACACCACACTTCAGCCAATGTGATCAGCAGAATGTTAGAGACTTCCTGCTTTCTACTTGACAGTGTTCCCAGTTTAGAAAACTCCTTACCCACGCAGTTCAATCCAAAATAGAAAATGTTTAGCGTCTCATGACACAAGACAAGCATAAACATTCTAACTAGATATGTTGGTACATCATGAACTATTCTACTATAACACAATTATCTGGGCTTATAAGTAAACCTTGTAAAGTTCAATGTATACAGGGATATCCACTAGCACTTTATCATGCTGGCTCACCATGCTGTACTGACATCCAGTGTTAGAAACTGAGATATGAAAGCTAGGATCTAAATGGGACCTTAAACCTAGGTTATGGGCGCAATAACGGAATGTCTAGGTGCACTTTGTTATAACAAGAATTCAAAGCTGAAAATGAATGAACTGCGACTAAAATATCCATTTATTTTTCACATGGTCTAGTCCAGTGTTTCCCAACCGGTGTTCCGCGGCACACTAGTGTTCCGCGAGATGTTGCCTGGTGTGCCGCGGCGGCGGCGGCTGCTACTGCAAAGCAGGGAGAGAAGGAGGCGGCGGCGGCGGCGGGGAGCCGGGCAGGGAAGTTGCTGCTGGGGATGAAGAGGCGGCGGCAGCGGGAGGCGGACTTCTCTCCCTCTCTGGTGCTGCTGCTGTGAGGCGCTTGCCAGCCCACCGGCCCCTCCTGAGCAGGATATAGGGTGGGCGGACGGGGTGGGTGGGGAGAGGCGCCGGGCCCGCCTCGTGCCCTGACAGGAGCTGCCGCTGTGCCCGCCGGCTCCCTTGACGCGGCGCCCCTCACAGTGGCGTAGCCAAGGGGGGTGCCAAGGGTGCCGGCCGCACCGGGCGCAACATCGGGGGGGCGCGAGTCCAGAGGGAAGGGACAAGTTCCTTCCTCCGCCGGGCTCCCCGCCGCCACCGCCAGCCTTGCGCCCTAGCGCGCGCGCGCCCCCCGCCGCCGCTGCGGCTGCGCTCCACTCACTGCTCGCAGGAGGAGCAGCCGCTGCAGCAGCGCCGACGCCGCCACCGACGCCTGGCCGGGCACGGGCAGCCTCCGCACCCCGCCGCCGCCGCCATCCCCTCGGCCCAGCCACAGGTGGCGGCTGCTTCTGCCGAGGAGAGCTCCGAGGGGCCTCGACCCGCCCTGCCCTCCCCAAAACCCTCCGAGAGGAAGCCGGCGGGTGGGCGAGGTCTCCCGGCGAAAGGGGGCGCCGCTGGCTCCAGCTCTCAGCGCAAGTCTCAGCCGCGGGGGGGGGGCGGGCGAGGACGGAGCGCGGCTGGAAGCCCCCGGACCCGGCCGGGAGGAGGAGAGGCGCTCGCCAAGCCCGGATCTGGAGCGCCTCGGAGCACGGGCTCCACCTACAGCCCAAGGAGAGGAGGGGGCGGGGAGGCGCGCAAGGGGAGGGGGCTTCGGCTGCCTCGGCCCGCGGGGGCTCCGCACATTAGATATTCAGTCCCTCGCTTTGCTGCCTCCTCCCCCCCCACCCCCAAAGCTTGGAGGTTCCCCGGCAAGGGGGAGGGGAAAAAATTGAAAGTTACACTTTCGTGCGTCCCTCCTGGCGTGACGCTGCGCGCTGACGTCACGGGGCTGTAATGGTGGTGTGCCTCGAGATTTTTTTCATCAAACAAGTGTGCCTTTGCCCAAAAAAGGTTGGGAAACACTGGTCTAGTCCTTCCCCTGCCCACCCCCCTGATATTCTTAAGAGGGTCTCTTCTCCAGTCTTCAGAGAGTACCTGGAAGTGGGGAGGCGGAAAAAGGTCCTCCTTTCCTTCCATTCTGCTGTTTTAATCAGAAATCTTAGGTGCGGTACTGTGCCCAGAGCTCAGAAACTGCTCACACTAATGAAATTCCCAGTCGCAAAATGTGCCTAGAACAATGGGAGTTTTGAACACTTCTTCTGACACCATACAGCAGAATCTCATCAGGGTAGGACAGCATTATTATTTCCATAGAAATAATGCTGCAGAGATTGTGGGTGGGAGGGCTATGGTTGTTTGCAAAAGACCATCTAGAACATGGGTAGGCAACCTAAGGCCTGGGAGCCAGAGCCGGCCCTCGCCTTCTAAATCCGGCCCACGGACGGTCCGGGAATCAGTGTGTTTTTACATGAGTGGAATGTGTCCTTTTATTTAAAATGCATCTCTGAGTTATTTATGGGGCATAGGAATTCATTCATTCCCCCCCCCAAAAAAAATATAGTCCACCCCTCCACAAGGTCTGAGGGACAGTGGACTGGCCCCCTGCTGAAAAAGTTTGCTGACCCCTGATGATCTAGAACGTCTCTGAAATGGCACTTGAACCAGGAACTCCCAACTTGTTTCATTTTCTGTTTTTAAGCCCATTATATTCTGTTAAAATAGCTTTTGCTTCTAACTGAGAGCCAGTGTGGTGTAGTGGTTAAGAGCGGTAGTCTCGTAATCTGGGGAACCGGGTTCGCGTCTCCGCTCCTCCACATGCAGCTGCTGGGTGACCTTGGGCCAGTCACACTTCTCTGAAGTCTCTCAGCCCCACTCACCTCACAGGGTGTTTGTTGTGGGGGAGGAAGGGAGAGGAGAATGTTAGCCGCTTTGAGACTCCTTAAAGGGAGTGAAAGGCGGGATATCAAATCCAAACTCCTCCTCTTCTTCTTCTTCTAACTATAGGATAGATCTGGCAGCAGTAGCAGGTGAGCACTCAAGTCGTGGGCAGTGTTTGAAATTAGCCAGGTGCATCAACCACTTGCGACCAAATGAAGAAGGCTGGGCGCACCAATATGGCACCTGCCATCTCCACCATCTGGAGGCCTGCATGCCTGGGGATCATTGGATCTTAACTGTTTTCACACACTAATACCCTGTACGATTCGGTCAGTTATATTCTAGCTGCACAATCGGAATGAATTTCAGGAACCAAAATGTTTTTTCTGTACAACCTGAGCAGGAGTAGTGAATAATGTTATATGTAATTGTTGTAGTTTATCTTCACTTACCCCACCCTACTGCCCTGTTCACAGTTGTGAAGAATATACATTATGAATGGTCTGTGTCACCCTTAAGAAAAAGAGGTAGGAATAGGCCAGCATATATGTAGATTGTCCCTGGATAAAGTGACTTTTCTTCTTTAAGTTCTCAAAGTTCTTAACCTAGCTCAATGTAGCCATCGGAACTCGCCAGATGTTTAACTGAGAATCAATCGCAGTCAGTCCACCATATGAAAAATAAGACTTTAGAGCTGTTTAACTCCAAAATAGCAACTAGACATAGAATCATAGAAGGGACCCCAATGGTCATCTAGTCCAGTGTTTCCCAACCTTGTGCCTCCAGCTGTTTTTGAACTACAACTCCCATCATCCCTGACTAGCAAGACCAGTGGCAAGGGATGATGGGAATTGTAGTCCAAAAACAGCTGGAGGCACAAGGTTGGGAAACACTGATCTAGTCCAACCCCCTGCAATGCCGGAATTTCAGCTAAAGCATCCATGACTGATGGCCATCAAACCTCTATTTAAAAATCTCCAAGGATGGAGAGTCCACCACCTCTTGTGACAGCTCTTACTGTCAGAAAGTTTTTTCCGAACGTTTAGTCGGAACCTCTTTTCTTGCAACTTGAAGTCTTTGGTTCGAGTCCTACCCTCCAGAGCAAGAGAAAACAAGCATGCTCCCTCCTCCATGTGACAGTCCTTAAGATATTTGAAGATGACTATCGTATCTCCTCTCAGTCTCCACTTTTCCAGGCTAAATATACCCATGCCTTCAAGTGCTCCTCATAAGGTTTTGTTTCCAGACCCTACATCAACTTGGTTGCCCTTCTCTGCACGTGTTCCAGCTTGTCAAGATCCTTCTTAAATTGTGGTGCACAGAATTGGACACAGTATTCCAAGTGTGATCTGGCCAAGGCAGAATAGAGTGGCACTATGACTTCCCTCGATCTGGACACTAGACTTCTGTTGATGCAGCCGAGAATAGCGTTAGGTTTTGTTTTGTTTTTGCTGCTGCTGCATCATACTGTTGACTCTACGTTTGTGCTCCATCAAGACCCCTAGATCCTTTTCACATGTACTGCTAGTATTCAAGGTGTCCCCCATCCTATATTTGTGCATCTGGTTCTCCCTGCCTAAGTGCGGAACCATACATTTGTCGCTGGTGAAATTCAACTTGTTATTTTGCGTCCAGTTCTCCAATCTGTTAAGGTCATTTTGAATTTTGATTCTGTCTTCTGTGGCATTATCTACCCCTCCCAGTTTGGTGTCTGCAAATTTGATGAGCATCCCCTCAATTCCTTCATCCAAGTAATTTATAAAGATATTGAACAACAACAGGCCCAGGACAGAACCCTGTGGCACCCCACTTCTCACTTTTTTCCAGGATGACAAGGAACCATTAATGAGTACTCTTTGGGTTCGGTCAGTCAACCAGCTACCAATCCACCTAACAGCTACCTCATTCAACCCACATTTTACCAGCTTCCTCACAAGAGTATCACGGGGATGTGCGTGTCAAAAGCCTTACTGAAATCAAGATATATTATGTCCACAGCATTTTCCTGATCCACCAAGTTTGTAATTCCATCAAAAAATGAAATCAGATTGGTCTGGCATGACTTATTTTTGAGAAACCCATGCTAGGTCTTAGTAATCACAGCATCCTTTTCTAAATGCTCATAGACCGACTGTTGAATTATCTGTTCTAGGCCCTTCCCTGGTATTGATGTCAAGATCACTGGTTGGTAATTACCTGGGTCTGTCTTTTTCCGCTTTCTGAAGATGAGGTCATTCCATTCTGGAGACTGTAACCTTGATTTATGGAGCTACCGTATTTTTCGCCCTATAGGATGCAACATAGGACACACCTAGATTTGGGGGGGGGAATAAAGGGGGATAATTATTTTTTCCCCCAGGCGCGGGGCTGGGGCGGGGGAAGCCCGAGCTTCCCCCAACCCCGGGTCCCAGAACGGGTCCCAGAGCGATGCCGAAGCTGCGCGCAGCTTCAGCATCGCTCTGGGAGCTTGCAGGGCTGGGGGAGGGGGAAGCCCGCTGCCAGCCTCCAAACCACGTCGGGAGACAGCGGGATGGTGCGCTGCGCCTCCCCGCTGTCCCCCGAGCTTGCGGGGCTGGCGGCAGGGAGAAGCGGGCTTCTCCCCGCTGCCAGCCTCCAAACCACATTGGGAGACAGCGGGATGGCGCGCTGCACCTCCCTGCTGTCCCCCGAGCTTGCGGGGCTGGCGGCGGGGCTCTCCTGAAGCCTGGAGTTTATATATATATATATATATGAGTTTCTAACACTGCTTGTGGGCGTCCTAGAGGTGCCTATTTGTTTGTTTTTTGGCCAGTGCAGGAAGCAAGATGGGTGGTTCTTATGCTCATGACTCGTACTCTTTAACTGCTATCCCTGTGCTAGCTCCCAATTATGCCATCTCCTCTTTCAAGCAGGAAAAGCTGCAGAAATGCCTGGAGCCACTTGAACGAAAGCTGCATGAGATCGGCCAGTGCAGATCCCGGGAGGAGAAGAAGCCTGGGGAGCTCAAGGCAAGTGCTGCATGCTTTGGATTGCATCTCTTTCACTTGGAATTTCCTCCCAAAGCAAATGCTGCAGTGGAAACCCTGTGAGCCTTGCTTGAATTTCAAGTGGACTACTACTAGTGGGACGCGGGTGGCGCTGTGGGTTAAACCACAGAGCCTAGGACTTGCCAATCAGAAGGTTGGCGGTTTGAATCTCCACGACAGGGTGAGCTCCCGTTGCTCGGTTCCTGCTCCTGCCAACCTAGCAGTTCGAAAGCACGTCAAAGTGCAAGCAGATAAATAGGTACTGCTCCTGCAGGAAGGTAAATGGCATTTCTGTGCGCTGCTCTGGTTCGCCATGCTGGCCACATGACCCGGAAGCTGTACGCCGGCTCCCTCGGCCAGTAAAGCGAGATGAGCGCCGCAACCCCAGAGTCGGTCATGACTGGACCTAATGGTCAGGGGTCCCTTTACCTTTACTTTACTTTACTACTAGTAGTAGTATTAACGTTTTCTCTCACTGAGGCAACTCAAGGCGTCTTTATAAAAACAAAAGACAAGCTTTCATTAATATCCAAGGGGTAAAGGAAAAACACACACATTAAAAACAACAGTACATCACGTGTGCTTTAAAAGGCCATATATTATTAACAGCGAAAGGCATGGTTGAAGAGGAATGCTTTTGGGTTGCACTTAAATTTATATAACAAAGGTACCAGGGAAACCTCCCTGGGAAGAGCATGCGACAAATAGGGAGCCACTACAGAAAAGGCCTGTTCTCGTGTTGCCACCCTCCAGTCCCCTTGTGGAGGGGGCACACAAAGAAGGCTTCAGATCACAGTTGCAGAGTCTGGGTCGGTTCATATCTATGCTGCTGGCTCTTCTTGCCTAAGTGCAGAACCTTACATTTGTCCCTGTTGGAATTTATTTGGTTCGTTTTGGCCCAGTCCTCCAATCTGTTGAAAGTCATCTTGAATACTGTTTCTGTCTTCTGGGGCATGGGCTACCCTTTCCAGTGTGGTGTCATCTGCACATTTGATGAGCATCCCCTCAATATAAAGAGCCCAGAACAGAACCCTGCAGCACCCTACTTGCCATTTTTCCCCAAGATGACGAGGAACTCTTTGGGTTCTGTCTGTCAACTAGCTACAAATGTAGCTCGTTCAACCCACATTTTACCAGCTTCTCCACAAGAATGTCACAGAATTCCCATGCTCCACCGAGCTTGTAACTGCTATTGAAAAAAGAAAGAAAACTTAATAGGAAATAACTTAATAAAACCACTTGCTGTATAAAATAAAAGCTGGTACAGTCATACCTTGGTTTTCGAACAGCTTAGTTCTCGAACGTTTTGGCTCCCAAACACCAAGTGACAGTTCTGGTTTGCAAGCTATTTTTGGCAGCCGAACGTCTGACAGGGCTTGCAGTTGGCTGCAAGTTGTGCAGAAGCCGCGCTTTGGTTTCCGAACGTTTTGGGAGTTGAACAGACTTCCGGAACGGATTCCATTCGACTTCCAAGGTACGACTGTCTGTGATATTTTCATTTGCTGTGATACACCTGCACCAAGATTCCCTCAAAAATAAACGCTGAGCACAGGCATTTGGAATATATAGTTAACTATCTCAAAGCTCTGTGCTACTTTTTGTTGCTGGTCGTTGGGCAGGAAATACCCTTCTGCCCCCACCAAAACGAACCAATTATAAAAAGGAACACAGTAGCACACCAGAAAATTGTAATGTACCAGAATTGCATACTTTGGGATAATGTGCTCTTTTTTCCCTTCCATTTAGTTCTGACAGTTCTTTATGCTCCATTGCCTTTAATTTCTTTTAGTTTTAGCTCCTCTAGAAATTGCTTTTGATGATGATGATGATGGTGGTGATGATAAAAAATGTTTTGCAAAACAACAACAACCCACAAAGCACCCTTCAAACAACTTTAAAAGTGCATTACTATTAGTAACAGCTAAGAAGCCACATCTGCAAGTGGGTGGGAGAACACAAGTATTTGTCTTAGTGATACAGGTGAAACTGTGTAGCCCAGTATGCTGTGTAGCCACATTTGTGTATGTAACGTTTATGCTCCTCTTATCCTCTTTGCAAAGCCTGGGATAGCTGACAATTGTACAAATATACCAAAGCATATTGAAACAATTAAAAAATACAACAAATTTATGCCAGCTTTACAGTGGCAGCAGCAAGCAATGCACTCTTTCAGCATTAGTACCTTTGGGAACCCAGAAACGGCGCAGGAACATTTCCCGGACCTTCCCCTGCTGGGTTTTCTCCCTCGCATTTGATATTCAGAGGTATACTGCCACTGAACGAGGAGGTTCAGTTTGGCTAAAATGGCTGACAGACTTGGCCTAAATGAATTCATCTAGTTTTTTTTAATGTTGCATTGAGATGCCATAGTACTGCCCATAGTAGAGAATCACATTACAGTGGACCCTCCGGTTACATACCGCTCTGGATATGTAACTTTGGGGTTGAGAACGCGGCAAACCCGGAAGTGTATACTTCTGTACACTTCTATTGTGTATATTGTGTATACCTCTATTGTGCTGTGCGCATGCGCAGAAGTGGCGCCTCCAGTTACGAACTTTTCGGGGTAAGTACAGACCCCCAGAACGAATTAAATTCATATCTGGAGAGTCTATTCCAAAAAATATTAGATTGCCACACTTCATAGCCAACTTTTCCTCCCACTCTAGGTGGTACACAGTGGGATAACTGTCCTCTGTGTTCACAAAAAAGTTGGTAACCTTCCAATTTCAAGAGGAGCGCCAGTGTTAGTCTGTTGGAGCACAAACCACAAAGATTTTTGTGACACTCTAAAGGTTGACACATTTATTATGATGTAAGCTTTCATAGACAGAATCCACCTCATCATATTATCATCATTCATCTGATGAAATGGACTTTGATCTACTAAATTGGTGCTCAAGGTGTCACAAGGCTTTTTTGTTGTTGTTTCTATACAGTAAGTTGGGCTGAGAGGAAGACTGTCCCAAGGTCACCCAGTGAGAGTCACAACTGAGCAAGTACTTGAATTTGGGTGTCACACCACGGTTTTGTGCTGTGTGAGGAAGTTCCCTCTTTCTCCCAATCCTGAGCATCAACCTCATTGGGTTGACCTCATTGAGCCCTACCTAAACCCTGTCTCCCATCTCCCTGCAGCGGAAGGTTGAGGACCGCCGCCAACTCATCATCCGAGAGTTCGAGGAGATGCATTTGTTCCTGGAGGAGGAGCAAGAAGTGCTGATGCAACACCTGGAGGACGAGGAGAAGGAGATCTTGCAGAAACTAAAGGACAATGTGGCTGAGCTGTCTGAGCAGCGGGTCTCCCTCAACAGCCTCATCACGGAAATCGAGGAGAAGTGTCTGCAGTCAGGCATGGAGATGCTCAAGGTAGGGTGTGCATCAGAGTCTACCTGGAGGGGGGGGCATCTCCTTCATATGAACAAATGCTGCTTGGAACATCCCATTCCTCAGCAGCCCTTGAGTCTGCCTCCTTCCCTTACTTTTTTCTAGTGCTTTAAGGTGTAGTAAACCACCAGTAAAGCTTAAGGCAGGCGGTAAATCAACAGTAGATTAAAACAGACTTGAATTACCGTATTTTTTGCTCTATAAGACTCACTTTTTCCCTCCTAAAAAGTAAGGGGAAATGTGTGTTGGTCTTGTGGAGCGAATGCAGGCTGCGCAGCTATCACAGAAGCCAGAACAGCAAGAGGGATTGTTGCTTTCACTGCTCAGCGATCCCTCTTGCTGTTCTGGCTTCTGAGATTCATAATATTTTTTTCTTGTTTTCCTCCTCCAAAAACTAGGTGCGTCTTGTGGTCTGGTGCGTCTTATAGAGCGAAAAATACGGTATCTTTTGCACCCACGGATCTGAAAGAGAGAGCCTGCTTCCCCTTTTTTCCTCAACTGCAGCCTGATGGAGCAGATAAAGCTCTAAACAGGACTTTCTTAGGAAGCAGTGATTGCATGTGATGGGTTCAAATAACCTCCAGAGATCATTTGCCTCAACCAGTTTCCTGGAAATGCAGTGCTCTTGGCTTGGGACCACTGTAGAATGGGGCTCATGGGCCTTCATGTGGGGTTTTGGTTCCATCACTGATTGTGCAACTCAGAGGGATGAGAGTAGAACAAAGGGTCGATGAACTCTAGTCTTGTGCCATCCCATTTCTGTTCCCCACTTCCTCCACCTCCCATCTAACATTTCCATAAGTCTGTGAACCCCAATTTCTATAGACCCTCTGGATGTGAATCTGTATGCCTCTTGTGGGCAGCAGGGCAAGATGCGTAGGGCTCTAGCTTTCTGTAGTCGACATGCAAGCATGAAATCCAGTGTAAGGTCATCAAAATTGGTTTGCTTTGTGAAGGCAGATCCTTGGATAGATGCATATAGCTGATATTTCAGGACACTGCAGTGGCAGGCTGGAAGTTGGTGTGGTTTGCACAAAAGGTCCAACACTTGAATCTTTTTGGTGCGTTTGGGTTTTTTTAAATTTGCCTGTGCTTTTTTAAGCTAAAACAGCAGAATAACATGTGTTTCTTTAACCAAAGGTGGGATCTTCCTCATTTCACCAGTCTGCATAGATAGATTTTACTTAGCGGTTGGGCTCCTTAATGACTACACGACTCTTAACCATTTTTATTTCTTGTCCTTCTCATGCAGGATGTGAAGCACACCCTCGAAAGGTAAGGAGCAAATTCTCAGGTCATCACAACAGCCTCACTGCCTCTTAACATGGGGTCCTATGAGGTGGTCCTTGTCACAAACAGCTGTTGGACAAGCATTTGTCCTGGTTTGACACATAAAATGCTCTTTTAAAGACTGCTGGTCTCCTTACCTCTTGAAGGAGCGCTTCCAATGGATGCCTTTGCTTTCTGAAAGGAGGTGGGCAGCTACCAAAAACAGGGCCTTCTGTATGGTGGTGCCATCTGCCTTCACACCTGCGGAAAGCTCTCCCCAGAGAGGTTTGCCTTGCAACCTACCTTACTGTTCTTTTGGCATCAGGTGTGGTTGAAGGTATGTAAGGCCCCTGCTTTGCTGAAGCAAATACTCGTAAGGACAAAGGCAAGGGGCTGGATCTAAATGTGCCACTTCATTCCTAGTGGGAGTCCTTCCAAGAACAGATTGGCCTTTGATCGAGGCCAAGACTAGTGGAAATGCGCCTAGAACAATGGGAGTTTCGAACACTGCCAGCAGGGTTTCCCAAAATTGGGTCTCCAGCTGTTTCTGGACTACAGTTCCCATCATCCCTGACCACTGGTCCTGCTACCTAGCGATGATGGGAGTTGCAGTCCACAAACAGCCGGAGACCCAAGTTTGGGAGAACCTGGTGAAAACTAAATAAAACCTCCATGAAAATAAACAAGTTGCTCAATTATAGCCTGGGAGACGATTCACACTCCTCCCCCCCCCCCCCCGGAGATTCTTTTATATATTTATTGTACGTATTTTTTATAACTGCCTTTCAATCATATTCCCAGGACAGTTTACAAAAATAAAAAAGCATATACATAAAGCATACCAAACTAAAAGGCACAAAAAATATGTAAAAAGCAGCATAAGAGAATCGGCAGAATTAAAAGTACTTGTGAATCTCAAGAATTTTTATTCACTTATTTATGTTTGTACACTGAAAGCCCATCTTCCTTCCATCCCAGAAGCCAAGGCTGCAGACCTGTAGGTTCTCATGTGGTCACTCATCCAGGCACTGACCAGACCTTACAAGTATTTGAAGTCTGCCCTCACAATGGCCATGAAATGAAAGATGATTGGGGGAAACATGGAAGCAATGGACAACTTCAGGGACAGTGAACCTGGGGCCCACCAGATGTTCCTGGGGCCCACAGCTTGCAGCATCCCTGACCCTTGTCCATCCTGGTTGGGGCTGCTAGGAGTTGGGAGCCCGGCAACATCTGAAGGGGCCACAGGTTCCCCAACCCTGGACTTGCCCTCACCCAACTTGCTCTGCTCTTTTTCTTGCAGATGTGAAGAGGTGCAGGCCCAGAAGCTCAACTTGGTCTCCATCGAGCTGGAAAAGAACTTCTGCAACTTCCCCAGGCAGTACTTCGTCCTGCGCAAAATCATCAAGAAGCTCACAGGTAAGTTGGTGTGCCACATCCAGGCATTTTTCGTTTTGCTTGGTGTGGGGGCTGGGAGAATTGGGCCTCTTCTCCCTTGTTCATGGGTCAAGGGGTTCGTCCACAGTGCCAACAAAACTCTTTGAGTTTGGAATAGATTCTGCAGATTAGCACCATCCAAGCAATTGAGCTTAATTCTGATCAGTGCACACACAACACAACTCTGTCCAGGAGAGGTGTGCTAGAATTGTTGATAGTGGGAGAGGAACAGTATTAACCTTCCTCAATCTGATGTGCTCCAGATGTTTTGGGACACACACACACACCCCACCCAACACAGTCAGTGGTCAGCAGTAACAGGAATGATACAGTCGTACCTTGGATCCCAAACGCCTTGCGAGTCAAATGTTTTGGCTCCCAAACGCCACATACCCAGAAGTTCGTGTTCCGGTTTGCAAACGTTCTCTGGAACCCGAAAGTCCGACACGACTTTCATGGCTGCTGATTGGCTGCAGGAGCTTCCTGCAGCCAATCGGAAGCCATGCCTTGGTTTCTGAACATTTTGGAAGTTGAACGGACTTCCAGAACGGATTCCGTTCGACTTCCAAGGTACCACTGTAGTTCAAAATAGCTGGATGGCCTCCAGCTGTGGAAGACTGGTCTGTATGTAGAGAAATGGCTGGAAGCAGAGGAAGAAGGAAGAGTAGTCATGCAGGTTGAATGTTCTTGAGGATGTCATGCCTCCCCTGAAAAGCAAAGAAGAATGCAAAGATAATTTTATGGCAAAACTAGGATAGATTATTAAATCTGTGTTAGAATATATTCTGGGTAAACAAACCAACCCCTGTGTTGCAAAATATGAGTCAGCAATATCAAAAGCAACACGATGGCCAGAAACAATAACAATGTGAACAACTTTATGGAATAATTCAAAACATCAAAATTAACAAACTGAAGTCTCTGAAAGTCCTTAAATGAATCATGGTGCCAGACTTTACCCGGAAGATAGCAAGCTATGAAGCTTTGTATAATCAGCAAATGTCCAATTCTGATGTCCAAATCTGAATGCTGCTGAACAGTGTTTCCGGATAACAACATAGGAAAAAATTTATAACTTATCTAGGAGACCATTGTAAGCGGATGAAAACATTAGCAGGATTACAATAACACTTGTAATGCAGCAAACATTATGGACAAAATGGAGAGAGATAAAATATGGTTATGAAATAATATGCAGTTGTAAAGGTTGCCAGTAGGACCCATGGAGGGGAAGGTGGGAAGTCCAGAGATTCGGAGAAATCTCTAAATATGGACATGTATTTTGTGTTGTATTGTTATAATTCTATATTTGTAAAATCAAATGAAAATTGTTTCAAAAAAAAAGCCATTGAGGCCTGGCCACCATTGCAGCAGAGCCTGAACGAATGTCTCTCCCTTTTCCTGCAGGAGATTTGACCCTCGACCCCGAGACGGCCCATCCCAACTTAGTGCTCTCGGAGGACCGGAAGAGCGTCAAGTTTGTGGAGCAACGCCTGCGAGACCTGCCCGACAGCCCGCGGCGCTTCACCACCTACCCTTGTGTCCTGGCGACGGAGGGCTTCACTTCCGGCCGCCACTACTGGGAAGTGGAAGTGGGCGAAAAGACCCACTGGGCCCTAGGGGTCTGTAACGAATCCGTGAGCCGCAAAGGGGAGACGACCTCCCTGCCGGAGACTGGCTACTGGCGGGTGAGGCTCTTCAACGGGGACAAGTACGCGGCCACCACCACCCCCTTCACGCCCCTCAGTGTCGCCACCAAACCCAAGCGAGTGGGTGTCTTCCTGGACTACGAGGCCGGCAGGCTTTCCTTCTACAATGTGACGGACCGCTCCCACATCTACACTTTCACCGACACCTTCACGGAGAAGCTGTGGCCTTTTTTCTACCCAGGAATCCGTGCCGGACGCAAGAATGCTGCTCCCCTCATCATTCGGCCTCCCACGGACTGGGAGTGACAAGATGGCCGATTCTTCTCCCTCTGCCACCCGCAACCTCGTTTTAGAATTAGCCCTCAAAGGTGGTTTTTAATTGAAAGAATTTGAAAAAATAATTATTAGAGCATAAAGGAAAGTAGATAATATCAAATATCTGTTTCCCACCCACCCCCAAACTAAAATATTAATCTAAATATCTTATCAAATGTGTTGAGGGAGTTATTTAAGGCAGTTTCTCTGTGGAGAAGGACGCAAAGGAGCAGGAAACCAAGCTGGGAATGGCAGAAGGAAACGTGGAAAGGCTTTCAAAAACACCACTGAAGGGGGCAGGGGAACCTACAGAAATGGTGGTATTTATCTTTTTGGCTTCACATTTTCTTGAAGGGATGTGATGCTAGTGAAGGGAATATTCCCACAAAAGCAAAGAGCCCATTTTGGAGCAGTTCGGCTTTTGTGAAGAAATGGATTCCTTCTGCTTTCCCAAACCTCAAATGGGGCTTAAATCTGAGACGGTGATGCTGAAACTTGGGGGGCAGGGTGGAGAAAAACCAAGCCACACTGTTTGGATTAGCTGTGGGCAGAGCTGGTCAGAAATGTGTGTGAATGCAAGCGTGGCAGGCGTGTGCTACATGGGCAGTGGAGGGAAGTGACCTGTCTGAAGGGATTTTTCATTGCGTGTGTAGACTGCAGAAACCATCTCTTTTTCCCTTCGCTGCTCCTTCTGCACCTTATTCAGTGTACGCAGGAGCAGCCTCCTGTAGTCTTGGTAGAGTGTTGTAATGTACCGTATTTTTTGCTCTATAAGACTCACTTTTTCCCTCCTAAAAAGTAAGGGGAAATGTGTGTGCGTCTTACGGAGCGAATGCAGGCTGCACAGCTATCACAGAAGCCAGAACAGCAAGAGGGACCGCTGCTTTCACTGCGCAGTGATCCCTCTTGCTGTTCTGGCTTCTGGGATTCAGAATATTTTTTTCTTGTTTTCCTCCTCCATAAACTAGATGCGTCTTATGGTCTGGTGCATCTTACAATGCGAAAAATACAGTACATGTGAGAATAAAGCAGGCCAGGAATGGATCCTTTCCTCTTGAACACCTCAGCACTCCCTGTGTAGAGTGTTAAGAGATCTCTATGGACCAGGGCTGGGCAATACCCGGTTTTCAGCATCACAGTACATCGCCAGCTAAACATCACAACATACAGTGGTGCCTCGCAAGACTAAATTAATTCGTTCCGCGAGTTTTTTCGTCTTGTGATTTTTTTCATCTTGCGAAGCACGGTTTCGGAAGTTTTGGAAAAGCTTCAAAAATCACCAAAGTCTTCAAAAACCTCAAAAAAGGCTACCACACCGCGTTCTATGAGTTGCTCCTCGAAGTCAAGTCGCAACTGTATTAACGGTGTTAAGAAAAAAGAAACAAACTTGCAAGACGTTTCCGTCTTGCGAAGCAAGCCCATAGGGAAAATCGTCTTGCGAAGCAACTCAAAAAACCAAAAACCCTTTCGTCTTGCGAGTTTTTTGTCTTGCGAGGCATTCGTCTTGCGAGGTACCACTGTATTGATATATCACAACGTCTGAAATGAGGATGGAGCTATGTAGAGGCCTTGGCTGGCTTCACAGTTTTCCCCACAGTGTGATTTTTTGCATAGCACACAAATGCACATCGTGATTCACAATATATTGCCAGGTCTAAAACTATGAAAGCAATATCATGGTATGGACTTGAAACCAGTTCTGGGTGACATATCGATATATTGCCCAGCCCTGTTATGGGCTGCACAGCCCTTTCAGCCGGCTGGCAGATCTGGACTGAGGGGTGCTGGAACCGAGTTTCTGCCTCGGACCCAGGAAGCAGAGCTGCCTGGTAGTGAGCGCCCTTGGACAAGCTGGTCTTAAGGCCCAAATTGTATCCAAAGGGCCAGTTGTATGATTTGTAGTTGGTGGCATCCATTTGGCTTTAACTCAAGCTGCCATCCCAAAGTCTTTCATGAATTGAACGGCATGTTTTGTGACCCTTGCCTGTGGGCTGTGAAGAGGAATGCCTGGCGGCATTTGTCATGGGTAAAAGTAGTGCCAACAGTGCACAGATGAGTCGAGGGCAATGGCCTGCAATGGAGGGTGAATGTTTTCCAGTAGTTCCCTTGAATCGAGGAGAAGGCACCTCTGCAAACCTTTCGATCCTGAAGTTCACCCATGTTGCACGGCTTAGCCAAATGTGAGGCGGAAGGAGCAACACCAAAAAACGCTTTTTTGGGCAATGTTTTGGGGGAAGTCAGCAAAATGCAGCTGCTATGTTTATCTGTTTGGAACGCAGACCAATCTGGCTGCACTGTGGTGTGGCATCATCACACTGCTTGGAGGTTTTTAAGCAGAGGTTGGGTGGCCATCCGTCATGATATGATCTCAGCTTGGCTGCTCCTGCCTTAGGAAACAGCTTTTGTTCGGGCAGTTTTCATGGAGGAATGGTGCTGCTGCTGCTGCTTAAAGCTGGGGAAAGAAGCAGCTTTCGATAGGTGACAAGAGCAAATAAGAAAGGTAATGGGGAGCAGATGAATGTGCAACTTTCTCACCACCGCCACTCATTGTCCTGAGAGATTCCACCAGAGTTAGAATATTAAAAGTTATTACAGAAGGTATGTATGTTTGTGACTGGTAAAGGTAAGGTAAAGGACCCCTGGACTGTTAAGTCCAGTCAAAGACAACTATGGGGTTGCTGCGCTCATCTCTCTTTGAGGCCGGGGGAGCCAGCATTTGTCCAGACAGTTTGAAAGCACACCAGTGCAAGTAGATAAATAGGTACCACTGCGGCGGGAAGGTAAACAGTGTTTTCATGTGCTCTGGCTTCCGTCACAGAGTCCTGTTGTGCCAGAAGCGGTTTAGTCCTGCTGGCCACATGACCCGGAAATCTGTCTGTGGACAAACGCCGACTCCCTTGGCCTGAAAGCGAGATGAGCACTGCAACCCCATAGTCGCCTTTGACTGGACTTGACTGTCCAGGGGTCCTTTACCTTTTTATGTTTGTGATTAGAATATCCTGGAGTGCAAAATACGTATGTTAAATAAAGATTCCAACAGCCTCTGAACATGGCAGGGATAATTCCTCTACAGCAAGGCCCTCCAGATGTTGATGGACCACAGCTGCCACAACCCTCGGACTCTGGACCATGCTGGCTGGAGGGGATTGGAGTTAGAGCAGTGATGTCCAAACTTTTTTCAAAGAGGTCCAGATTTGATGAAGTGAAGGGCCATGAGGGCCGACCAGAGTTGTTGACCTTTTCTTAGGGTTGAAGTTGTTGAGGTTTTTAAGGATTTTACCCCAGAAAATAAACTGCCACAGGGGCCAGATTAAACAGACCAGTGGGCCAGATTAGACCCCCAAAACTGACTTTGGACATGCCTGGACTAAGGCAACATCTGGAGGGCCACCGGTTCCCCCACCCACCTTGTTCTAAGACGTTCAATTCCCAGTTCAGCCTCAGGTTAGTTATTGGCTTTAACCCATCCTTCCCAGTGATGCCCTGTGGGGCTCAGCTTGCCTCTACCTTCCAATGGTAGTGTCTGGAGTTGCGCGATTGAGTAGTGTACGTGTGTGTCTATGCGGCTGAGGAAGCTCTGACTTGGGTGCGTCCGACCCTTGAGCATGAGTGGGCTGGCAACCCACAGCTTAGGGCAAGATCGATGTCTTGTGGCTTGTAAGATTATTAATAAAATCTCTTTGTTTTATTTGACAACGATATACGTGTGCTCGTGTGCATGTGTCACTTCTTGGGCATTTTTATTTTATCGGCCGGGAGAAAGATGTCAGAACTGCAGTTCTTTCAGCAGCAACGTAACACCAGGGGCTTTACCTTGCCCCAGGTAGCAGTCAAGGCACCACGTTTTGCAGTAGCTGCAGCTCCCAGGCCAACTTTCGGGGCAGCACCACACAATGCAATGCAGTAATCCAACCTGGAGGTTACCAGTGCATGATCAGGCTATTCCTGTCCAAAAGTACCGTATTTTTTGCTCTATAAGACTCACTTTTTCCCTTCTAAAAAGTCAGGGGAAATGTGTGTGCGTCTTATGGACCGAATGCAGGCTGCGCAGCTATCACAGAAGCCAGAACAGAAAGAGGGATTGCTGCTTTCACTGTGCAGCGATCCCTCTTGCTGTTCTGGCTTCTGAGATTCAGAATATTTTTTTTCTTGTTTTCCTCCTCCAAAAACTAGGAGCGTCTTGTGGTCTGGTGCGTCTTATAGAGGGGAAAATACGGTAACTGTAGCTGCTTTACAAGCTGAAGCTAGTTTTAAAAAAAACCTGTGGGGACCTGACCAGCCTAGCGGAACTGTTGGGAGACACACATGACATTTCATGTGTGCCCCTTTCCAAACTTAAAAATGGAAAGCGTAATGCTGGTGGTCAACAAAAGCAGTTTAAAGACTGTCTCAATCTAAAAAAAGGTAGTATAAACACCAACAATTGGGAAACACTGGCCCGCGAGCGCTCCAGCTGGAGAACAGCCTTTACCAAAGGTGTCATGGGCTTTGAAAACACTCGAACTCAGGATGCAAGGGAGAAATGTGCTAAGAGGAAGGCACGCTTAGCAAACCCTCACCATGATCAGCTCCCATCCAGAAACCTATGTCCCCACTGTGGAAGGACGTGTGGATCCAGAATTGGCCTCCGCAGTCACTTACGAACTCACTGTTAAAACCGTGTTTATGGAAGACAATCTTACTCGGCTACGAGTGATCGCCAAAGAAGAAGACAATCTTGGGGCAACCTGGGCCTATGCCTGGTGCTTTTGTGAAACATTCCTCCTCCCCGTTGCCTTTGGCTTATTAAACAAGTCAATGGTCTTTTAAACTGGGGGTGGGGGCATTGTTTATGTTTGTTACTACGTTACGTATTTTGGTGTTTATAAACTGCCCTGTAATCCTTGGGTGAAGGCCAGTTTAGAAATCTAATATATAAAAATCTAATAATAATAATAAATAAACCTCAGGCCTTCCTTCACTTTGGCCTATAGTTTGTCTCCTCAGAAGCTCTGTCTTGGAGTGATCCTACTCTCCTCTGTGGCTCAGGGTGGTCTTAATTTTGGGATGTAAGTGGTGGCAAGAGCAAAGGATGTGTGCAGGCCATGGCACAGACAACAACTTCCTGTTTCTATTCCTAAGCATTTATAAATCTGGATAGGACTGCCAAAATGAATTATAGTGAGAGACTG